GACGTGGCTACGGGCGAAGATATGGAAGGTCCTCCTGGGCTACGGTGGACTGCCGCAGACTTAGACGCTGGTGAAGTTGTACTCCGGCCATCTTGAGATTGTTCCCTGACGCCGCCCACTGACGCTCTGAGGCGACTATACAGCCCGCTGAAGCCGCCCTGTACGAGGTCTATGCCTTTAGGTTCACCAACCGAGCTCGGGGCTGGAGGGACGGTAAAGTCGTCAAAGGTGGTAAGCGTGTCGGAACGTGATGCCGTGGCATGCATCTGGTAGAGCGAAGGCGGCTGCAACGACCCCCGCCGCGAGTCTCGAGACATGGCTGCTGTTAGAGGATTGGGCGTCTGCGAGTGAGGTAGAGTGTGTCGGATATTTGGAGGCCGAGCGGCGTCCGACAGTGATCAGTGAAGGACAGCATCAGGCTTCATGGGGGAACACGGTCTGGTAGTGGGCGAGGTGGAGTCGACAATGTCTAGAATCTCGTTACACGTGTATTGCTTGTTCGGCCAGTAGCGAGGGAGGCCAGATGAGTGGCTTCATGGAACTTGCAAAGAAAACTCCAGGCATCGACGGGAAGCTTCGACGGCTCGGGTAGCTGAAGCATCACGAGGTGCATACAGGAAGCTAGGTATGCAAGATACGCGGCGGGCGATGACGCGCAGCCGCCAAGAGTTTCCGCCTGAGGTCTGCTTGCACCTCCGCCCCCCACGTCCCTCGGCATGGGCGCATTTTGGCTACGAGATGCAGCTATGCAGCCGCCGTGAAAGGTCGCACAAGACGTGAATGCGCTGAAACCAAGTGGAACACCAGCTGCTGTTCCTCTCCATCTGGACTTGTACCATGTTGTTTCCTTTACCCCGCACACGGCTTGTTGTCTTCCATCTGTACGCATCTCACCGGGACCAGACGCGTCGCGTCTTCCCCTCGCGCCTAGAGCTCACATTTTATGGCCATTCGTCTCACCGCTTGGCTTGAAGACGCATTCGAGTCACAGCTACTGCTAGGTAACCAATGGCTTCAGGACCAACATGAGAAGAAAAAATCTCGTAGCAGGCAGGAAATAGACAGACGGCGAAGCGCGTACCACGATAACGGCTCGTCCCTGGATACTATCAATTACCCTGATCCCGAACACAACTGCATACTGCAGGTCCTCAAGGCATGTGATTGCGCACCACCTCTGGCTCTCTCACCTAACTCTCAATACCTCAGGTTTCTCCTCTTACGCTTTCTGACGGCCGGAATCAAGTAGTCTCTCACCTTACACCTGATTGCGCTCGGGACTTCTTACAGAGACACCCCACTGTGTTACACCTGCCCGCAGGCACTACCATAGCCGCCCGAAAATACACTGTCCGATTCACCTCATACGGGCCGCCTCCCGAAAGACTGCGCTTGGTGCTCAACCAGATTGATTGGCTAGGCGAGAGTTGCGAACTACTGCAAACCCAGGGCAGCGCAACTTTACGATCGCTACACGCTTGCAAGCAGATTGGGCTTTTGCTAGAGCAGCTGCGCCATATCCGCGCGCTCGAAGACCGCCGGCGCTTAGCACCCGGTGTTGAAGGGGCAGACGTAGAGGCAAAAGACGACGCTGCCGTAGATGCTACGCGTCAGAACAACAATATGTCGGACCAGAATGCGCTTCACTCCCAGATGCAGGACACCCAAGCATCCTTTGCAACACAAAAACCACAACACTCACGTCCACGGGCAAGCGAAGATGAGCCACAGATCATAGGAGTGAACAGGCTGGAGCCGGTAATGGCTGGGGACACGCAACGAATCGAAATACGACCAGGCGCTGCCGATACCGACTTTGAGAAACGCAATAATTTGCTAAACCTATTAAACCCGCGCCCGAAGTCCAGCGCCAGCACACGCGCCACAACTTCTGGGTCAAATTTTGTACAGGACGCTTTCAGGAAGCCGCAAAATGCACCTGCGTTACCCGCGGATGAATCTCCTGAATCCCCATCAGATCCGTCGCATCAGCAACCAACACAGCTTGAAACAGAAGTTGAGAATGGAGAGCCTGCGTCGTCTGCGCCAAACTATGAGAAGATGGTCAAAAAAGTAGGGGATATCTCCCCTAAAGTTGCAAGAGCTGCCGAACACTCTCGAGTCGAAGAGCAAGACATCCAACAAAGCCTTATTGAAGACAGTAGTGATGAGCTACCTGAGTGCTCTTGGATGAAAGACTTGGTCTTCAACAGCGAGACATTACAGGTACCGAGAAGTCAGGCGCAATGTCTGAGCAAAGAGACTAGTTGGCTAAAACCTCCACCTGGGGTGCAGCCTTTCCAAAATGGAAATATGCCCTACTCGATACTCAAGAACATCCACCTAATAGCTGACGAGAGAGCTGCTGCTGAAACCGATAGTGAGTCAGACGCAGATCCGTCGCCAGAAAGCCCTGATTCATCGCTCCAATCTATAGCCCCAAATATGCAAGATGAGGAGCCTGCAACTCCTCAGGAAGACGATGTTACAGCTAGTCAGGTGACCTGGGAATCCTCTCCAGAGCCACCAGAACGTCTGCCGAGGCCTCAAGAGGCACTCCCTCCGGACTCAAGTATGGAGAAGCAAGCATTTCATTCACATGATGACAATCCAACCGGTCTCTCATCTTCGCCGCCTGTTCCTGCTGCACCTGCCGATTCTGATGAGGAAATGGAGATGGAAGAGTCTGTTCCACAGGCCTTGGGAGAAGACCTTGCACAACGAAAACAACCACCATCAGCGATCGACAAGCTTCCAGATGCTGTTTCCCTACGTTATCCGATAATCCACGTAAAGGAAACTCCATACGGCAAAGGCAAGAATGCCTCAGAACCCAAAAATGCACAAAAGTCAAGTAGCGCGTCGAAACCGACGTCATCTACTTCAATAGTTCACAGTACATATGATACGCCTAGTCTATCTGATCTCGCTGACGTCGGAAACTTCGAAGATTTCAAGCGGCATCCGTCGCATACACAAGAGAAAGACATAGGCAGTGAGCGCAAGGAAGTTGAAGTACATCATGGCAAGGCCAAGGATGTGGTTACCGATAATGTCGAAGATGTAGAGATGCTCGACATGTCTCCAGCCGCACAAGATCTCAAGAAGGAAAATTCTCGTGTTATTGTAGCTCCACGACAATTACCTAATGGCCTGGATAGCGAGGGTGTGCTTACATCTGCGTCACATGCAACCCCATACTCGGCGCACTTATCTCAGAACAATGGTGACTTGGATGTATCACCGACGGTACCTCATCACTCCTCACAACCTACCAAACGTAAGCTCGTTGGTTCGCCAACGAAAAGCAGTCGACGGCAACCTAAAAGGCGAGAAATCAAGATCGTCGGCTTCGGAGATGATGTACCGTCTAATGTTGACCTAGTAGGCTCACTGCGCAAGGATCGGGAAGAATCCTTGCGCAGATTTCGGGAGCAACGTAACTCAAGCACAACAAGCCTTGAGAATCAACCCAAGCTTGAAAGCAAGCCTACCGTTGATGATGATTCGGACATCATGGAGATCGATGGTTTTGATCAAGTGACAAAGAGGGAGCCATCTTCTAGCCTATCTCCTCGACACCAAGGTCTTTACGAAGAACCTAGCCCCAGAAGAGCACAGCCCATTGCAAGCCCAGCGCCTCAGCCATCTCATTCGCACGCCTCCTTCCAAGCTCATGCAAGCGATACTCAGACACGCGGGCCAGTTCCGACACATGCCCAACCCTTGTCGATATCATCCGAGGATATAGATGAAGATAGCAACATGACAGTCTTCCAGTCGTTCAAGGCGGCATATCCAGAGTATAACGGCAATGAGAAGCACTTTGAGAATCAATGCAATCAGATGTACCAGCTGGAACAAGAAGACAAGATGGTGCCAAAATGGCAGTGGGACGATTTTATCATCCGTAATAGGACAGATTATAGCCAGTACGCTATGGACTGTATTGATCAAGGAGAAAACCCTGAGCCGTACTACCGCTTCTACAAAGATAACATTCGCAACACGCTGTACACGCGGGGCATCATTCAGAATACGAAAACATTACAAAGAGCACTGGAGGAGCTAGGTGTTGCACTTACGGAGACTAGCAGACCTAGACAACCACCTCAGTCTATTCAGAAGCCGAAGCCTGCTAGGAAGTCGTTGCCAGGTGCTTTCGAACAGCCCAGGAAATCTACACACGATCGCGTCAGCGGCAACTCGTCTCGCCCGCGCCATTCTCTCCCCGCGAACCCACATGTCCGCCCGAAAAGCCGCATCCAACCTGCTTCGCCCGCATCTTCATCACGACCGCAGTCGAAATATCCAAACCCTAAGCTTGACGGTCAGGGCAGTTCTCGCGATAAATTCAAGGATTTCTACTTCGGCTATCAGCGTATTACATCCCTAACTGGCAGCACCGCAGTGAGTTCCACGCCCACGAGGAGTGACAAAGCTTCGAACAAACCATCTGAAAAATCTTTGGACTAAGGTATGTATAGGTCGATGGCAATAAGCAGTGGCCACAGAATTTGGCTGGTAGACCAACTGTTGCTGATGTGTTGCCGCCAAGGAAAAAGGTTGATGTGCTGGATTGGGGGGATGTCCTGGGAAGGATGGGCTAGACAGGTGGGAAGTGAAGTACTTTGGGGGCTTTGACATTGGACTTGAGTTTGTTTGGCTTATAAACTAGGATACCCAGGACTATTGCTTATTTGTGTGTGCGAAGTGTTTTGGATAGTGCTTGGATATAGGGTTCTGTTGCATCATTATATGATCATTTGGATATCGAGAAGGATACTTTATTCACTTCCAACTGTTGAACAATTGCACACGTCTATATATGGAAATCACTTGCGGCATTTGATCACGACAAACTATGGATGACAAAAGTGAGATACCGATATCATCGTAAGAGGGTATATACTTCCTCCTCCCAGGAGGAAGTCATCAAATGCCTCATCCCATTGCATCGATACATGATTCTTACACATGGCCATGTGGCACATCGCACTCTAAGACCCCCACACGACCGTCCTCCACCTCCTGGCGCCCTGCAGTCCACTAACAACAATCGTAACCACGAAAAGCAGCGCATTAAACCCTGCCATCATGTAGAACGGCGCGCCAGGACCCGTGCTATCAAACAACGCACCACCGGCTTTAGTCAGTAGTAAGATACCAAAGCCACCCAGCAGACTATAAGTCCCTGCTATCGAGCCTTTAATGTGGTTGTGCGATGTAACTCGTCTTGAGGCGGAAGCAGAGCGCGAGGAGTGTATGTGCTCTGGAAGCAAAGGAGCGTTTTCGTCCAAGGGAGTGATGGGTGCGCTGTGTGGCGGTGTAGCGCCTGCAGATGGATGCGACGTTGTTCCGTTCACGGACACAGATGCCGAGGTGGCTGTTGAGGGGTGTTCATCATTGTTGATGCCACGGCCGAGTAAGGCAAGAGAACAAACGATGGCGCCGATCTGACTAATGCCTAGTAACGCCACGATGAAGAAGATCGCACCTGTGCCGTCTTCACTCTTATAGTCCGGGCTTGTGAGTGATCCGAATGCAGAGTAGCCTGCAATTCCAGACATAGCTGCTACCAGCAAAGGGATGTTGTAGCGAGGGAAACGACCGGAAAGGTAGCCGAAGAGGGGTGCAGACATGAGAGCTATGAGCTGGCTGATGCCCGTCAACATGGCTGCAAGTTTGTAGGCTTCGGGACAAGCGACTTTGATATCGGAAGGAATGTTGGATTCCACTTTACAGCGGCCGGTCTGCAGGAAATAGTGATTTGTGAACAGGGGTATGAAGAGCGATATAGCGACTGATGATGCGCGTGCGACGAATCCTCCTACGTAGCCGAGTCCGATGTTTGGCGAAGTGAAACCAAGACGAACACTTTCCAGAAAGAGACGCGGGTAAGATAACACAACGTCGCGTGTCAGATGGCTGTCTACGTCTTTGTAGTCGCCTTTGCTAGTAAGGCGTTTCCAGCCTTTCGCTTCTTCGCCTGGCAACTGGCGCAGGCCGAAGAAACAGCCCAGTGCCACAAGAAGAGCAATGGCTCCTACAACATAGAAAGCATCTGCCACAGCTGTTGCGGGACGCTCGCCAGCATTTTGGAATTGTGTTGGCAGAGGTAGGAAAACGAACAATGCGACCAAGGCACCGCATCCTGTGAACATGCCCACTAACCCGGCAAGTTGTGACGTGGATACGCCCGAGTCCTTCTTCAAGGGCGTGTCTTGTGTATGGTCTTCAGGGGAGTTTGATCGGAAACGCGCGGGCGTAATGGTGAGTTCGGACGATATCGAAGCAGCCGGCGCATGCGATCTACCACGACTTTGTGTCGGCGACCGCGGATCAGGTTTGGTTTCCTTGACAATAGTCATCGAGGGCAGAATCGCCGTGACCATAGTCGCGCTGGTCAGATGTTAGCCTCTCATGTCTGAGCATCCCAAGTCCTCAGAACTTACGTCGCGCTTCCACCCAGACTAAACAGCACCCTCGCAAGCAACAACTGTGGGTACACATTCTTCGCCTGCACAAGAACCCATAGCGCAACACCCACAATACTATACCCCATGACCGCAACACTCCTCACGCCAACCCTGTCGCTCAGTAAACCCCATGCTGGACACGCAATGAGCGCTACCAACTCATCCACGAAGCCCAGAGTGCCGACCGCATCGCCCACATTTCGCGACTGGCCAATGCGCTGTGTGATGACGAAGGATATCGAGCTATTGAGGAACACGAGAAAGCTGATGCTGAAGAGAGCGACGCCAAAGAGGTAGGATGCGATCTGCGTACGCGTCGCGGTGAATTCAAGACCGAGCATGATTTTGGCGACTTGGGCTCGCGGTGAGCTGAACCGAGTTATCTTAGGCGCATTGAGATGTCGTGTTTGGTGTTTGCGAACAGGCGATGTCGCGTTGCGGCCGTTCGGTCCGAGGATGCGTGATGTCAGAGGCGTGGCTAGATGATGCCCAAGTGTGGCTGGAGTTTACCAGCCTCACGTGTGTCCCGTCTTCACTCTACCGGAGCGTGAACTAGACGGTGTTCGTGCTAGGAGCAATATTCTACGCTAGTGCCGTGCGAGCCGAAGAATTATCCGTGATGGTGGTCAGCACTCAATGAACCACGATAAAAGCAAGTCGTAGCGTACTGCGGTCTGTTCATCGAAAGCATGATATCATTCCAATCTCCACTTCTGGCAGATGTCGGCTGCAAGCCCTCTAATCACTTTCGAGCCTATGCCACCGCCATCACATGCAAGCGATGGCAATGTTGATTACTGTCAAGATGGGTATTGCTAAACTAACTGGAGAGATAGATATACAAAGGAAAAGCGCTGAAGAACGTATAGATCGTATTACCCTTATCGACGGCCACAGCACCACCAACGCCAAAACCATGCAAGGAGCAACACAAAGCCTCGAGTGCACCCAGTACCCACAAATCTCGCTCTAAATGAATTACTATTGTTTCCTTTATATATCAATGATCAGCGCTGCAGGGTCAGCGCCGGGTCCCCATCCGCAGCCTGCGTGCTGGGGTAAACAAGCCTGCATCTGCAGGCTCACAAGTCACAAACAACGTGTCCTATACTTTAACCCAGCCCACAGGTAAGTCCCGTCCCTGGTTTGGACCCCAGTAATTCCGGGTCTTGGGATAGTCGCCGTTCTCGACGCCCTGGTTGAAGAGACCACGGACTGTGTTCATTCGCACAGTGTCGCGAGGCTTCAAATCGAACTTGAAGGGTATCGGTTTCGCGATGAGCAAGATGGAGTAGTCGAGTGTCGGATCTTCGGGCTTTTTGGTGATGTCGCCCCATTCCAGCGGCTTATACGCTGGCTCGGCGGCCTTCGACTTCTCTTGTACGTCGTTTCCTGAGTCGGATCCAGGATATGAGAACTTCGCAAGGATTTTCTCTTCCATTGTTGGGTCTGTTGTGTCTAGACCTGCGTTGAGCTCTTCGTTGGAGATTGAAGCTTTCTCGTTCATGCCAATCTTGTATTCTGTCCTCGTTGACTTCATGACGGGCGGGATAGTGGATTCTGCTGGTGATTTCTTGATATCAAACAGCCAGGCAATTGCACCGATGCCAATAAGCAGATCTTCATCAGCCACAGCCTGTCCAGTGCATGTCCTTCGGCCATAACCGAACTGTGTTGAGTTGATTATAGTCGGATATTGGGAAAGAGGCTCTTGATAGGTGGGGTACTCTGGTTTGATCCATCGTAGAGGGTTGAAGGCTTCCGGGTCGGGGTACAGATCGGGATCACGGGAGATGGCCCTGCGAAAGTCAGTTAGCTTTCTAATGCATCCAAAAGATTGACCTGACTTACCACTCCAAAGGATGTATCGTGCTACCCTTGGGAATATGATAACCATTGTACTCGTCATCCTGGATCAGGTAATGAGGAATACCAGTGGGGACTGGGGGGCGCCATCTAATGCACTCTCGAATGATGGCTCGTAGGAAAGGAAGATTTGGTCGGTCTTCTGAACGTGGCATCCGGTCTCCACAGACACGGTCAAGCTCTTCGTGTAACATAGGCAAGAACTGTGGATAATGTGTCATGGCTAGACAGAAGGTCTGCATAGGAGCAGCGATAGTGAGAGCTCCAGCGATACCGTGCATACCTACAGCATATGCGCCTTCTGTGTCGGACTTGAAGCCCCATTTGCTGCGGCCATCCAAGAACGTCTTCATCCAAGATGGAGCGGCTTGTCCTGATCGCATATCGTCGACGACTTGTTCTTGCATTGTCTGGAACCACGTACGCTCAGTGGTCGCACGTCGCCTCTCCCAAGCCTTGGGTGGGGAGAGCCAGTCAGGGAGAGACATAAGGAACGGAAGCTTGTTGCTCAGAGAACCAGTGGGTGAGACACCGATGAGAAGCTCACGCGCGCGTTGCTTCAGCTCATCACTGCCTTCGCTGTGACCCCAGGCAAGCCGGCAAGTGACGCGTGAGATGAAAGACTCCAGAATATGATTGTATTGGTCCGGCGCATCCAGTAATTCGGTCAACATACGTGTTGATTCAATTTCAGGGTATCGATGGAACGCGGCCTTCTCTGATTCGCGCATGATGATGTTTGCAAATTTCCTTTGACGAGTATGACCCTCTACTAAACGTTAGCAACAGCGGTAATACAATCTTTGTCAATGGTCCTTACCATTTCGGCTGAGGAGGGGGAGATATTGGGCGCTTGAACGATTGTCGTCTATCAAAGACGGAATGTGTGGTCGGTCCGAGTAGATCGCTGCTTTCTTCGATAGCAGGTCTTTGGCAATTTGGTCACTAGATATCCAGACATGGTTGTGACCAGCCAAGTTGCATTGATAGATAGGCCCATATTGCTTGCCCCAATCTGCGAACTTGATGAACCCATTCTTCTCAGGAACCTCAGGCACCGAGCCAAGGATAGGGTAGCCTAGCATATATCCGTCAGCCAAGTTACTTGTATGGTCTTCAGGGTCCAGCTGTAGGACTTGTCTACATGATCTATAGATGGAGAGAGTGCTATACCTTTGGGTCCTGGTAGAGGCTTGAGACCTGTGGGTATTCTCTGCCGACGAGAAGAATCCCAGCACTTGTATAGTACATATGCACCCAGCACAGCTACCGCTAATAATATTGAAGGAAGACCCATACTGGCGAGCTGTGTAATAACAAAAAAAATCACTACCAGCGTGACGACAACCAGAATATCGGGTTACAAAAGATGTCCAGCGTTCAAATGAGAAATGCGGGTGCATGAAGCACTACATATAGAACCTGTAGGCCTCATCATCGGACGGTCACTACCTAGGCATGTAAGCCAGCTCGTGTCAATATTCTCTAACAGGGAAAGGAGTTTCGAGTACCGATATTCCGTGCGCAGCCGCGGGACGCTGTGTGTCAGAGCCGTGAGAGTGGATCATGGCCTCTAACGAGCTTGACGGCTATGATCGTAAATAGTGCCCTCGCTTGTTTGACGACCTCAGTGGCCTGCAAGGACCAGGAGTTTTCTGGCTGTGCTGAGTCTGCAACATCAATGCCAAGCCAGGAATAGGTTGGAATTCCTCCGCAACCGTTTTCGTTTAGCTTGCTGTAGACCAAGCTGATAAGGGAGGCCTTGAGGAAATTACTAGGACGATCGCTGCAGTCCATAGTCCTAACGAGTAATCATCGACGATGCAGTGCACACTTGGGTAGCCCAAGGACGTTTACTTGGTTGCTGGCAGAGACCTGACTCGTCAAACATTCCGGAGATAGTAGCAGAAGACCTGACATTCAAGCTCGCAAAGCGGATGTTGTTGGGTATCCTACCAGAACGAAGTAAGCAGATACAGATTGCGTGCATATGTGACACTTTACAAAATCTGCACGAAGAACCTGGGAGCATTCCCTGATCACGAGAGACACAGCTGATGTTGACCGATTAAGCTGAATTGACAACTTTGCCAATGCATCCGAGAGGCGCGGCCCTCTTGGAAACATCAGCGTTGTGACGGGTGGCCGTCGCGTGTCAGAGTAGTGATCGGTGCTGATGGTGTCGTTTGTCGTGCCGCACATGGGGCTAATCTATTTTGAGACAGCCCAGAAATCCAATGATCGTCCGGCAGTCGCGCGGATCGCCGCCCCATCTGCCTTCTCAGCCTAAAGCCCCTGCTCCCTTGCCACAAACATCAGGTTATCTAAGTGAGGAGAGCCGACGTCGCAAGTCCGACGCTCGTCCTTCCACACAATCTCTTGTCTTCTCTCAGCTTTCGTTTGAAATGTCTTCGTTATCTGCGCACAACGTCATCTTACCCTGCATTGGACCCTGAGCCTATCGTCTCACCCACGACAAGCCACCAGCCTCCATCGGCGACTGTAACCTCCTTCATGCCGAAGTCAGCCTCTTCATACGGTGAAGCCTAGGGCAGAAACGCCGGTCGAGAGACATGCAGGATGCCTGTTTCCGTTCCGCGGTCTCCAGAAACAGTGTTGAGTCAAGATGTTTGTGATGTTACGCCTTGAAACAATAGACCCGGTGTGCTATTTGGAGTAGTCGATATGTTTCCACTAAGGATTGCGCAAGTAGCCTACCCGCCTCGCGACTTGCGGTTCCCGGCCTACGTCCACTTACTAGCCAGGTACAAATTTCCTACAGCTGTCTCCGAAACTCTTTATGCCGGTGTCTTCCCAGATATCGATCTGTCACATAGTCCATGACAATCATGCCAACTTACTCGTGAAGCCCAGCCTCAGTATGCTTTCATTTAGCAAAAAAGGTGGATTGATCTCTGCGCCAAGTTACTGGCGCATCAGGACCTCGCAGATATCACCGCATCCGGATACGTACGCGCTTGTCCGACATGCAAACTCGATGCGTTTCGTCTGCATTGGCCTCAGTCCCGCACTCGGTCAACTATTCTCAAGACGATGTTGAGGTGCTTCTAGCCGACAAGCTCATGACAGTCAACGATGTCAGCCGCATGGTTCTACAAATGCGAGAACGGAGATACTCGACTACAACAAAGAGTCCAGCGGAGTGGCTGCGTGGCAAAGCGCAGGCTACATGATGCCCACTTGTTCACTTCTGCTTCAGATCCACTGGCAGGTTGCCAATCCGCTGAGAAGTACAGCGCACGGGTGACAAATATCGTCAAAGGATGCTGACTCGAAAGAAACTGGTTGATGAGCAGCTGCAAGCTCGCTCTCAATCCTGTGGGTCATCTACCCAATAACCTGGTTCTCGTCACCCGCAAGTTCCGCGTCCAAAGTTAGAAAAAAAAACTACATCATGCGACTGAGCTTATTGCAGTCTACACGATCACACGCATTACAGTATCTCGAAGTCGCATAAGCTTGCAGCTTCGAGGACGCCCTTGGGTCGTCCAGATTCGTTCTCATGTAGGGTAATCTTTACAGCTGCAGTGCGACACATCCTGCCGAATCTTGGTTCTACCTTGATATCGCCCTTCCCTGGACACGACGTCAAGAGATTACTCAATAGATGAAGCATGCGGGCCGCGTTCTCCGTGGATTGCTCCATCATCAGACCTCGGCGATTGTGCGCGATACGCAAAGTCATAGTCTCGGACGTTTTGAGGAGTAACACCAGCGCATTTGCACAACCAGCACGAACCAAACGAGAATTGTTGTTCACTTTTGTCTGCACGTGTACTACATTCAGACTTGATGCTATATTCTCCTTATAACTAGAGCTTGACTACCTAATTTTTCAACGTCGTGTTGACGATCTTGTCTATCTCTAGTCGATCCTCCAGCATGGGTTGCGTTTGGGTACTTGGAAAATTCGTGATGACAGCACGGATCAGAGCATTGCACCAGTGCACGAACAAACCAGCAGGCGGTTGCTTCTTTACGCTATGACTGTGTGCAATGTTGCACTCATAATGCGACCACGACGAACCATGTGTGCGGATGAGGCCAATGAATTGTAGACGTGTCGAGAGTATCCCGGAACTTAGAAACATTGAATAGCCTATTTGTGTTGAGTCGCGACGTGAAGACCGACGTAGGGCGTGCCACGTTCTATTCCGCTTTCACTCCGAGATGCTACATATTTAATACCAACACCTACGGATCTGATACATTGTTAGTCCAAGCATTGCATCTCTATCCACAATGGCCGAATCACAATATGTCGTCCTCGAAGGCCTACCGACGCCGCAAAGGTACCACGATATCCGCAAGCTCGCTGGTATGACACCCCCACCAATGGAAGCTGTGCCCAAGTCGCTCGCGAACTCTTTCTGCTGCATCGTCGCATACGAACGAAAAGACATGCTTGACGACACAACTCCTGCGTCTGCACAGGATGTTGTTGCGATGGGCCGATTAGTCGGCGATGGATCCCTCTTCCTGATTATGGTGGACATCGCGGTGCACCCAGATCATCAGCGTATAGGACTGGGAAAGCGCATCGTGCAGAGGCTTCTGGACTACGTGGACGAGCACGCGCCTCTGGCATATGTAAGCCTTGTAGCCGACGGTCCAGCGCAAAAACTATACCCGCTTTATGGATTTAAAGATGTGTCGCCTAGTATTGGCATGTACAGGATGATTAGGGGTCCGAAAGATCAACAGGATGCGGCGACGAAAGCAGGGAAGGAATCTTGAAGCCGCTCGAAGTCAGCGGCGTGTCTACAACCCGACTTAAAGCTCCTGTAATCAATGTATCGTCGTTTGATGACGAGTAAACACGATGCGCGCTGCGTTGTTGGTGGTGTGGCATTCACATGTCTAGGTGGACAGGGGTGGCTGTGGGGGGCGGGACCCCACCGATGGCGTCGATGCACATCACTGCCCAGGCTTCACGAATCCACACATCCAATGTTCATTACTCTTCAACATGCGCGATTGAGACCTTCACCCTCTGTATGGGATGCGCATCTGTGATTACGTCTGACTCCTACATGCGCTGTATTAGACGTCATGACCTCGCCGTTGCCGCCAGATCCAAGGGCCGAAAGTCGCCCACTCTCTGTATGTACTCCGACACAAGACTGGTTCGCTCTACAGACGCACCATGCCCATCTTATGCGACTATGCGGCGTGTTTGATTCGATGCCTTCGTCTGACGAGAGATGCTGATCCCTCTCCAAGCTACAGTCTCTGCCTAGCGAGCTGCTTCAACTCATCGTCGCCTACCTCGACACTCCTACGCTCAAACACGTCGCCCTAGTCTCGCAGACCCTCAATGAGCATGCGACGGATATACTGTGGCAAAACGTCTGCCTAGCCGACCAATGGAAATTGCACCTCAACGAGGAGACGGATTTGTTATGGGGGGAGCGAGGCCGTGGAGAACCTGATGAGCACGACGATACACCTATTGTCCAAAAACTGCACATACTTGCGACGTAGGTACACCAAGTCTGCTACACAAACCATTCTAACGTTTCAGTAACCCTGCAATCGCATCCAAAGTTCAGACACTCTCCCATCGATGCCACCTGCCGGCGCCGAACATCTTCAATGAACTACCACGAATGCGATTCGACGCGGACAACCTCTCGCAAGATGAACGACTCCATACTCTCGTCAAGCTCGCGATACCCAATTTGATCAACGTGCACACACTACGGATTGTATACGGGCATTGGAGGCTCACAAACGCACTCGTCACTGGCTTCCTCGATCATGGTCGCCCACAACGTGTGCCCGTGCGCAAACTGTGGTTAGAGAGCTGTTGCTTCGACAAGACCGAACTGTTCCGGCTTTTGCAAAACAGCCCTATTGGACTTGAAAGTATTCGTCTGCGTAGACTTGGAAAGGACATGTCGGATCGAACGGAAACTCAGCAGCTACAGTTCATGGAGTTTTCGCTTTCGCGTGGCGGGCAATATTATCAGATGCACAATGGAGCAGGAGGTTTCGTTGGTACCACTATCCAGATCTCTCATGAGGGTTTACCGGAACGATGGCCACGCTCTTCAACACAAGAGTTGAGAGACAAGGCCAGGGCATACGATGCGATCATGTGGGAGGAACTCTCGGACATTAGAGACTACGTTGATGCAAATCCGGTACATTCCGAACCTATATCACCTGGACAGTTCGTGCTTGACCTCAGACCCCCAATGGAGTGGCTAATTGCAAACTCCGCTTCCACCCTCACCAGTCTAAATCTAGACTGGATACATTGGCGACGGAGGAATGCCGAGCCTTCTGCTTCAAGTACTGATGCTGAAGTGTTCCTATCTGCACTCAGCAAGCTGCGCTTTCCGCACCTACGTGCCTTTCAGATTCGCAATGCTGTATTGGAGCTTACAATACTCCCTCAAAACGTCTTTCTGCTGGAAGGCCCGTTTTTGGAATTTCTCGAAGCGCACCCCAAGATACAGTGCCTGGGCTGGCCAATGGACAGAATATACAACCACGTTAAGCCGTCCGTTGACACTCAGAACCGATGCCGGACTTTGGTTGCACATTTGGCAAACACATTGACAGACTTACGCATTGACACGCAATACTCAGGACCTGGTGAGCCACTTACAGCTAAGTGTAGTACCATGGAAGAAATGCAAGAACGTACACGCCGGCGAAAGTTCATTGACGAATTTGCACCTCACATGCGGAAAGTAGAGCAGATCAAGCTTGAAGGTGGTATACCACGTGACGAAAAGCGAGAGTTACTACGCGCATTACATTGGTGTCCGATCAAGAAAATTGTTATGATTGGCGTTTCTTTCCCTGCAGGAAACACATGGGGTGCGGGAGGGCAGCAACTCGCTGCCATCGACCCTGGTCAATCCGGTTCCGATTTCGTCTACAACCTTGAAGATGAGGACCTTGCTGGCATCCTAGCCGCTTACCGCCGTGGCTTCCCTATGCCCTTGGACTTTGACTTCGAACCGAACTACGGCTGGCCGCCTCAAGCACCACTCCTCCAAACCATTGCCCTGCACCATGCATCCACAGTCGAGGAGCTCAAGATATGCGGCTACAACGGTTGCCCAATCCTGTCATACACAACACCCATCACCAATCCTTTACTGACAGGCCTTCGCTCCTTCGACAGTCTTAAACAACTCGTAATCTCCTTCTGGTTGATGACCTGGTACGAAGACTCCTACCGAGACACAGAAATCATCCAATCTTGGCTCGACACGCGTTCCCCTGCTTCGACGGCACTCACAATCGTGACACCTCCGGCGTCGCCAACGCACGACCAGCCAGTCGACCCAGGACAATTTCCTAACTTTGATAACCCACGCGTGGTGCCACGGACTCAGAACTTTAACCGCTGGGCTGTTGAACTCAAGACCAAATTCACTCCTTCGGCGCTCGCGTATCGTGTTGCGAGAGACATCGGACCTTTCTTGAGTGAGGTAGCCAAGGAAAGGAAGGGTGGTGTGCGCGTGAGGGCTAGCTTTTGCTTGGGCGTAAAGGACGAGAGAAGAACCGCGAGCGACATATTCGATCTGGACATCAGGATTGGGAAAGGCAACCAGGTGTTAGAATTCGTGGGACCGAGAGAGGAAGGCGAGACAGGGAGATGGTGGACTAAGATTGAGGAGAGAAGATGGTTCTGAAGGGGTAGTCATGAAGCGATTGATGGTGTAGCGGATTTGTTGTCCTCGGCAATTGGAGGCACGGTGTATGAGATCCTGATGATGCATACGATTTGTATAGGTAGTTAGCTTGGCATGTTAACAAAACGCCCTTTGGTTGGAAAGATTATCGAGTCGAGCAAAAAAACAACATGAACAAGGTGAGGAGTTGGTGGAATGTTGAAACGATCGAGTTACGCCTAGGGCTGTAGCTGGTATGATTGTCTTGCACTCGGGTGGTAAATCGCAGGTATTAGCCACGCATCCGTGTACATGCTAGTGTTCGAGGATACAAAGCGTAAATGGTTTCGTCTTTCGCTAGGTGTATCGGTGGAACGATCGTCGGTAAGCCTCGATTTTCTACAGCTGATCAGTACGTCTCCACTCATCCGCATCAATTGGCACGTTCTGTGGCTTGATTCATGCTTTCATTTCGTGACAGAACATGATGAATTTTCCGTAGTTATGCCTCCAGAGCTATGCGCTCAAACGGTGATGCCATCCTCATTCGTCATGTGGGATGGACAGCAACCGGGAGAGGGATGACAGAACGCCCCATGCCGAGCAATACCATTTGCCTATAAGAACCCGCTTTCCGATCATGCACCCGTCCGAATGGCCTTCATCGCGCCTCTACTCCTCCTCGTCGTCAACCTTATGCTTGATACGTTTACGAGGACTTGACGGTGGGGCCCTTGGAGCCCTTGGGAGCGCCAGTTTGGAATCCGTTGCTGAACTTGCGGTTGACGGTCTTGAGGTATCGCATGCGGCCGGTACCGGTGGTCTTCCTTCGCTTGGCCTTCTCGCCCCAGTTGACTGTCCAATGTTAATCTTCGTTCTCGGTGCGCGCGTCTCAGACAAACGTACACTTGCGGGTCTTAGCAGCAGGGTAGCCGCATGAGGCGCAGGTGTGCTTCTGGATGTGAAGGGATCGTTGACCTAAACGTTGAAATCAGCCCTTGTCCCTCTGTTCATGCCTTCGCATCTCCAATGCCAGCATCCAGGAAGATATCACGTACCGCAACGCCTGCAGAGCGTGTGCGTCTTGTTGTGGCGCTTTCCGAAACTGGAGGTACCCTTCGCTATATCGTAGTCAGTCTCGAAGCTCGTGGTTGCGGTTGTGGATGGGAGTCTGGCGTACTCATTTTGGCTGGGGACTGTGCAAGAACTGTCAGTAATCGATTGTCTATGAAGTGCAGTGGAGCATCATACCTGGTGACGCTGTTGTTAGTATCGAGGGTGGGAGTTGTCGCGGGTTCGTCGTGCGAGAGCGAAATCGACATGTGCTTAGCGAGACACAATTTCGAACGTGTGTGGGGCTAGCCGTTTACGGACTGGTGCCGATAGCTCCACTTGATCAAGTGGTGCGCGCAACACCAGAACACGAACATGAACTTGAATTTGAACATCGCCAGAGCTACACGTCACTATTGGAACTTCACCCTTCTCGGCCTTCTTTTATCTTTCACAGAAAGTGTATACATGTTTTCTTACTGAAAGGGCAGACCTTTACTGAATGGATCGTCGATAATACGTCCCTGTTAGCCATCTCTTTACGGATGTCATGACTGCCTTCCAGATCGCGACCATTTTCGCAGCTAGCTACAGCGTTATGCTCTACAGTTGTTTCAATACTACTCTTCTACAAGCCGCGATTTCTTCTTAACGGTGCGCGAAGCCTTGGGTTTGTTCCTACAAGCCACATCGTCGCCAGATGCCATAAAACGCCGTCACCAAGCACCGTAATCGAAGGTTACGAAAATCATCAGCTACCTGGACGAGATAGACCATTCCCAGAGATCTCGCACACAGCAAATGTATACCCGCCTGAGCCTTGACGAAGGACTTCTTTGAGTTTCGGTATCGAGTGCTTGTTGTCTTCCTATCCATCACAGCGCTCATGCTGCTTGAGACCTATGCTGATGCCGAACATGTGCGACCGATAGTTTTGATGCTTCGAAGGAGAGGATGTTAGAGGTCTTTAGGAGCGAAGTCCTAGTGCTGAGCTTGATAACGGGATCGAATCGGGAAGTCGAAGCTGCCAAAGTGAAACTTCTCCTGGGCAGACCCGCAGTTCTTGCAAAGTTAGCTTTACAGTCTTGGGTATTGCTAATTCTCGTTATGACTTGCTACCTAGCGCACGTTGCCAGATCCACGACTCGTTCATTCTCTCACCCCTACCAGTGAACCCACAACGATTTGTCGATGCAAGCCCATCCAGGACGCCGACCACAGATTCGTTGCCGCACATTCCATCCTCTCCCACACACTCTGGATGAGAAGGCTGAGGACTTAGAAGCGCCACCAATGCTTTATGCCCACATGGCCAGCCACAGTCCAGTATGATTGGAAACAACGCAGATCCCGGTTTGCGTCAGTCAGTCCAGACTTACTACCCCCCACGCGGATATGTGCTTGGTTGAACATTGATCAGCAGTCTACATGGTGCATCTCTCTCACCATCTACCCCAGACTAGACGATGGCATGGACGTATCCCAAGAGAACGGTCCATGGCACCCAGACCCTGATGGGCGTGGCATCGTTCCATTGAGCTCTTTTCAAGTCTTCCTACGAAGATACTGGCCAACAGGAACACAGGGCGTGCCATCAGTATCGAAAGCGACATGGGTGTATTTTGGGGTTTGGGTTCGACTAACCAATCATAAGCGACACCGAGAAAACGTGAACGCGCGCTGTGGTGCAACTCTCAACGCCTCCCCCGTGGCATGTGCTGCCGAACTTGATCGCAACAGGCTTGTCCAGAATTATTTCGGGCCTTCTACCAATTGATTCCAAGCGGCATGATATCAAGTCCCTCACGGTTCAACATCTAGGATTCTCGGCATGGGTCTGGTGTTCCCAAAAGAATATCGGCCATGCAGCAGCACGTTGCTGCAGGCCTTATATCGTAACGCAATACAGTATATGTCTCGTCTGACAGCTGCCCCACCGATCAGCCTTATTTGCGTTTTGTACCTACTGCAGCTATCGGGCTGACATAGCCTTCCGTCATTTCATCCTCTCATGGACGTCGTCGAACCGCGGCGCTCACTTCCCTCCAGAGCATCAACCTCCGTTGCCACTCATGTTTTCGTTTGGACGGGTGGGAAACGCAGCTTACCGAGATGTGCCTGGAGTCTATGTATATGATGATCCTAGCCTTATCTTCTTACTTCATAACTAACTAGGCTACTAGACCCATATTGCGGACCCTAACGAGCGCCGGCGTATGGCCCTCGCTGAGGTAGACAAAGCACCGTTTGGATGGTACCATATACGTCTAGCGGTTGTGACTGGGATTGGGTTCTTTACCGATGCCTACAGTGTGAGTTTAGTGGTCGAAATTACAGGTGATGCTGAAAGTTAACTAACAACATCTCCAGCTATTTGCCATCAACCTTGCCGTCATCTTGCTAGGAATTGTATACTGGCAGGATGACGAACACAAGGGAGTCATGCCTCATGATGCCGATACAGCGATCAAAGTCGCGACATCCGCTGGTGCTATTTTCGGCCAATGCATCTTCGGATACATGGGCGATCTGTTAGGAAGAAAGAAGATGTATGGAGTGGAGTTGATGATCATCATCTGCACAACACTTGCGCAATCGCTCTGTGGAGAATCAGCCACTGTTTCAATCGTGGGTGTGCTCATATTCTACAGAGTTGTAATGGGGATTGGTGTCGGCGGTGACTGTGAGTACAAACTGAATTTTTCGTGGTTTCGAATGTTTTGAGGCTCGATCAAAGCAACGAGGAAGAAAACTATGCCTCAAAATATGCTATTGCAACGCAGAATTCAGCCTTTACTTTACTGACCACTACTCCAGATCCCCTCAGTGCGGTCATCACGGCAGAGTTCGCCAGCACCAAATACCGAGGCGGTATTATCGCAGCCGTCTTCGCCATGCAAGGCCTTGGCCAACTTGCAGCAGCCTTGGTAACCCTCATTGTAGTCATAATATTCAAAGACGATTTGATTGGAGTAGCCAATGTTGGAGAATGTGTGGGGCAGTGTGCCATGCGCGTCGACAAAATGTGGCGGATTATCATTGCTTTTGGTGGCATCCCCGGATGGTTCGCACTTTACTACCGGCTCACAGTACCGGAAACGCCACGATACACGTTCGACGTGCTGTACGATGTCGAGAAGGCCTCGGTCGATGCGCGAAAATACCGCTACGGAAAGCAAGGAAATGTGGTCAATCCGGTCACGCAAGCGAAGACGCGCAGTGAGATGGCCAGATACAAGACGCCACGACCTACATTGATGGAAGTGCTGCGCTTCTACTCGCAAAAGAAGCAAGCTATTCGGTTGTTCGGCACATCCATGTCCTGGTTGTATGTTCATGAAACCCGGCGGTACAGTTGCAGAAGTAGCTGACATCCAGATAGCTTCCTAGATCTAGCATTCTATGGCCTCGGATTCTCCTCCGCTTCTCTAATGTCCACCATGGGCTTTGACCAACGCGACAACCTATACCTTTATCTGCGCAACACAGCCACGGGCCAAATCGTTCTTATCTGCGCCGGTGCCCTGCCTGGCTACTGGCTCACTGTTTTTACGGTCGATTCTGTGGGCCGGAAGCCTATTCAAATAGCTGGCTTCGGAATCCTGACCATCATCTTCTGCGTCCTTGGCTTCGCCTGGCAGGGACTCACTAAAACCCACTTACTAGTGCTTTACGTACTAGCACAGTTCTTCTTCAACTTTGGTCCGAATGCCACAACGTTCATCACGCCAGCGGAAATCTTCCCAACAAGAGTACGATGCACAGGCCACGGGTTCAGTGCTGGCATGGGCAAGCTAGGCGCAGTGTTTGCCCAAATCTTCTTTGCGCCCATGATCAAGAGAGGAGCTACGCACGATAATCCTACGCCTTGGATTCATGGTGTGATGCAAATCTTTGCATTGTTCATGTTCCTGGGTATGCTGACAAGCTTCCTCGTTCCGGAATCGAAACGAGCGAGGCTGGAGGAACTGGCAGGCGAGAAAGAGAATGTGTATGAGTTACAGGCTAGTCAGTGGCGGAATCGTGGTGGCGTTGCCGGGATGGCAAGTGGAGGGAACGCGGACGTAGAGAGTACCTTGGGAAACACATCAGTGGTCATTGCAAGGGGAAGTGGAAGTACAGGTGCGAGAAGTGTTGATCGGGGAAGCGAGGGAGGTTTGAGAGAAGGAGATATCGAGAAGAAGTGGTGGCGGTTCAGACAGTCGGAGATGCACTCTCATGCTGTCTGAATGTTTGGCAGCGCTAAGTCTTCCTTTTCTGTTTAAGCTTCGGAGCGAAGGCGTTTATGAGTCACGATGGGCTGGATCGAGCTTGTAGTTTTATACCGTTTCCCTTTTTTGTGTACGACAATCCGCCTGTTTGTCCTTGTTCGCTCTATACCCTTCTGCCATTTGACGTAAATTTAGATCCCAGTTGAAGCCCTCGATCTGTTTTCATTCTATACATTCCTCCTCTCTACTTTACGTGCTACTGACGTCGACGTTGGTCGTTCTGACCATGGCATTACCTCTTTTCTCATGAAGAGCCAGGTACCGGTGATCGTATTTGCCGTGATGGCGATGCAGCTCAGGCCCATGTCCTGGAGTAACGGGTGTCGGTACGGCACATCCGACCGGCACAACTACAACTCGGACGTCCTGTCTGAGAATATCTATGAGAGTTTGTTTACCTTGCTAGGTTCTCATCTCCTTCAACATACGTCAGTCGGATAGCAGTCTGAAGTCAACATGCTGATTGTCGTGCATCTGCTGTCATATCTTCAAGTCAGTGTAGCGTCGAAAACCTTCATCCGCCTCTTGAAATCTCCAACAACTCATCAACCATTTCTTTCTCAACTCTCTCCACGCCCTCTACGCCTAGCAATCTCTCTCCCACCTCTTCCACGTAGCTTCTACCAACCTCTTGAACACTCTTTCCCACCACCCCCTCCTTGGCAAAACTTGTCGTCTTCTTCCCTTCCAACCCACATGCAACGATCCTATCAAACCACCACAAATCTGTATTGACATTCAGCCCAACTCCATGACTCGTGATGTTGCGTCTCATATGAACTCCAATCGCCGCAATCTTGTCATCTGGAGTCGTCCAAACACCCGTGTTTTCTGTAGTCATGGCTTTAATTCCGTATTTC